TGCGGTTTTGCACGTATGCAGATATTATCTATATATATGGTTACAGATTTATCCTAGCTTCTCAGTGCAATGTAATATGGAGATGAGGGTACTTTACTTATGGGTTTATTACCCATCATGTAGCTTCTTTTGTTTCCTCTTGTCTTCGTACTCTTCAGTCTCTCTGCCTCTCTCTTCCCTTCTCTCTATCTATTGTCCCTTTTCCTCTCTTCTCTAACCTCCCTTCCCCTTTCTCTCCCCTCTCATTCTCCTCTTTGCGTCTATTCTCTTTCCCTTTTCTTTCAAATCTCTTCTCATTTCTTCTTTTCTTTTTCTCTTTCCTTTCTCTTCTCTCATATATTTTCTTCTTTTCTTTTTCTCTTTCCTTTCTCTTCTCTCATATATTTTCTTCTTTTCTTTTTCTCTTTCCTTGCTCTTCTCTCATATATTTTCTTCTTTTCTTTTTCTCTTTCCTTTCTCTTCTCTCATATATTTTCTTCTTATCTTTTTTTTCTTTCCTTTCTCTTCTCTCATATATTTTCTTCTTTTCTTTTTCTCTTTCCTTTCTCTTCTCTCATATATTTTCTTCTTTTCTTTTTCTCTTTCCTTTCTCTTCTCTCATATATTTTCTTCTTTTCTTTTTCTCTTTCCTTTCTTTTCTCTCATATATTTTCCTCTTTTCTTTTTCTCTTTCCTTTCTCTTCTCTTTCTCTTCTCTAATATATTTTCTTCTTTTCTTTTTCTCTTTCCTTTCTCTTCTCTCATATATTTTCTCTCCCTTTTCCTCTCTTCTCTCTCCTCCTCCTCCTCTCTCCCCTTTCTTTTCTTCCTCTTCCTCCATCTTTGAATACCCGTACGGATGATTCAGGAGAATACGAACTTAAACATGATGCGAGTTCATGATAAATTCCTGACCCACATTCAAACAGTGTCTAGACAGGATTTATGTGCTTTGAAGACAAGGTAATCATCTCAGAATTCATTCATTCAACTGCATTTTTTACGCTTTTTCAAGTACCTGTCAAGCGTATGATATATCTGAATGAAGTTAGTCCATTACATCTGTAATGGCTCAATAGTGAGTCTTCAATGTCTCGTATATTGGTCAGTATCTTGTGTCTTGGTCTTGTTCTTGTTTATTTCAATTTTTGTTCTCCATGGCAATTCAATTATTACACTATATTTGAAATTGCTCAATTCTTGCCTCGTAATCGACAACTGACCGTGTCTTTTTCTTCTTCTTTTATTTTGTTACCCTATTTCCATTTTGTGTGGAAACTTTCTCTAACTCTCATTTAATTCATAACTGAAACTATGTTTTGCTCCCTCCCCCCCCCCCCAACAAAAAAAGTATGTACTGTAGTCATGCCCAAAATTGAATTAATATGCATCTATCACAAGACTTGTTTTATAAGTTGGTGAATTGTTACAGATGTAAAGGAATTGATTTTCATTCAGTTTGATTGTTTTATTAAATCATTCACGACTCTTAACAAAAGAGACAGAAAAAAAATCATAACATTTCAAAATCATATCTACAAAGGTAAAACTATGGGATGTTAACAAACCCTTGCTTTTTCATTTTTTTAATAATTTGTATCCCATTGAACCATGAGCCAAAGCAGGGAAAAATACATGGGGGCTCGGGCGAAGTAGCCCCCAAAATGCCCCAAAGAGCCCCCGAAAATCATTAAAGAGCCTTCCAAACTTTGCATAGAGTTCAATGCAAAACAAATTAAATAGTGTTATTTTACTGCAAGCAAGCTTGAAAAGTAGCCCCCAAAATTGTTTTAATATATTTTTCCCTGAACCAAAGAAGTGTGTCTCTGGGAAATATTTGTTATAAAATTGTATCCAATCGGTGACATTTTCACATAATCACATGGTCTTCACATGCAAGGCTCTTGGCTATGTGAAAACATTTACAATTGTGACATGTATCACCCATACTCTGGGAGTGACAGGGCGCACTGTAAAGATAATCAGAGATAGTCGGAGAGAAAGGTCTGAAAAGTCATCTTATAACCCAAAGACAAATTGTAATGGTTTAAAGATACTATGTCCCTTTTGCAGCCAACATCGAATTCTGTAGAACTTTGTATGAATATGTAATGTATGTCCTATCTGTGAAATTTAAATGTTAGCCGTGTCCTAATATTCAAATTATGCAAGGAAACCCGTTTACTTGCTAGACTTGACTGTCTGACACTATTGAGTGACTGACTGGCTTTTTTTCTTCTTTGGTAATAACATACATAAAATGAGTTATAAAGGGTACATGAGCATTTGTCTATATCAATAACCCACTTCTTGTAATGGCCGAAATTAAACTGATTGAATCTTTGTGCAGCACTAAACGTACGACCATTTGGTACAACGGTCTGAAAATCAAACTACTACATTCTGACTTGGTAGCACTTAAGTCGATTTGACAACTAATAGACGTTATTTTCCCACTTAAAGACATTTTCAAGCCCCCCCCCCCCTTTTTTTTAGGGAAGTTCTAAATTAGTATTATCTTTCAAATACCGTGGGAATGTAACCTTTTCATTTTTTGGGCCTGCGAATCAGACATAGTACCTTAAAAGGGGAACAAACGTGGATAATTTGCGTAAAAGGTTTGAAAAGTCATCTTGAAACACATCAGGTGCGCTTGCAGCACAGTATAGACGATGTTCGCGTAATGTCTGCAATTTATAGATTTCTAACATTTGTTATTGTTTATCATAATTCTATTCAATTCAATGATCCTGAACAAACTGTAACTGTTTAAATAGCACTAAACAAGAAAAGTTAGATGAATACTCTAATGGCCCATATCAAGTTAGAACAGTTAACCAAGCACACACAAACAAATGGGAGTATCATTTGAAAAGTATCATAATGGCCCCAAACAATTTTGTAATCATTGATCCCGTTTTATGTTCCATTTTTTATTTATAAACATTGCACAATTAGTCCTCTGATTACTACATTTACTTTGTATCTCTTAATAAACTAAGTTGAATTTAATTGAATTTAATTGAATTTAAAAGGCATGGAGAAAAGAAACTGGATTAAGAATTAAAAGCCATGTAATGGCATAAAACAAATGGTAAAGGTTAAAAAGGGGGACTGAACATGACATGCAGTGTAAGGTTGAAAACTCATATAATGGCTAGTAACAATATGGAACCATTTAAAGGGAACTGAACACAAAACATTGGAGTAAGGTGTAAAATTTGTTTTCTAATGGACCAAAACAAATTGTAACAGGTTAAAGGGGACTAAAATCACCAAATGCAAAAAAGTATATTATTAAAGGAGTATGAATTGAAAGGGTCATGTAATGGCACAAAAGAAATTGAAATGGTTTAAAGGGGACCAAACACACACAAAAGTGGGGTTATGGTCTGAAAAGTCATCTAATGAACCAAAACAAATTGTAGAGGTTTGAAGAGAACATCAAAGAAATATTGGTATAAGGTTGAGAACTCGTCTAATGGCCTGAAACAGTTTTTAACAGTCAAAAGGGACCAAACACTAAATATCGGAGCAATGTTTAAAAATTGTCTAATTAACCAAAAACTCCTGGTAATGGTTTAAAAGTGTCCAAGTGCACAAAGTACAAGTACAATCTGGAAAGTGGAAAGTCTTCCGATGGACACTAACAAATTGTTATGATTTAAAGAAGACCACAACAATTTGAATGTTGTTGGATAAAATTAATCTGATGGCCAGATCAAGTTGTAAAAGTTGCGAAATGATAGGGTACGATTTTGAAAGTCATTTGATGGACCAAAACAAAATATGATTCAAAGAGAAACAAACACAACAAAATCGGAGTATAGTTTTGGCTTAGTATGTTTTAAAAAGTTATCCAATGACCCAAAATAACTTGAAATGAAAGGGGAACAAATTTTGTTAAAGTATTTTGATCTGTATATTAATATTGCTGCTATCGTATGTTTTTAAAAAAATCAAATCAAATTTTACCTTGGTTTTAAAAAAAATGCATCTATGCTCTTAAGTAAAGGTAACAACATACTACATACAATATTACATTTAGATCATTCTTATTTCATGAACAGATAAATGGAGGAGAAAATATAGACATCATTATGGAGAGGTGTATGATGCTAAAATTTGTTTTTGCATTAGAAAAGGATGGATTTGATGTCAAACATGAGGATATGATTTTTTAGTTTGTTTTACCTATAGAACTAACATACATTTAAAATTTAAGGGGGAAGGTAGCCTCTGGATGTTCCATGTTAAGTTGGAAAGAGCAAATTAAGGTCTTTGTTTATAAATATATACATGAACACATTTTCATTTCAAATTTCATTTGAGGTCGCCAATCCTAGTCTATAGCATTGCTTATGATTGCGGTTTCCTGCACTTTTCTCACAGATAGTTTGGATAATACTTTAAATTTATCACAATATGTTACAGAAATATTAAGTTCATTATTATATGTATATATGTAAATAAAATGTTGACATGCAGTTATTATTGTTTGTATATTTTGTATGATACCTTACGGTTATATGTTCTTTGTTGTTCAGTTGTTGTATTAGGAAAAATGCAGAAATACAATCAAATCAAATATTGAAAAGTTATTTAAAATTAGCATCGTTGTCTTATATTGCTTCTGCCTAATAAATTGCTGAAGAAAGTTTAAAGGAAAGTTGTATGTATTATCCAGTGGAATCATTCAGTTTAGAAAGTCAATTTTCATTTCTGGGACTGTGTGTGTAATACAGCTATGAAGTTTTGAAGCAAATGAATGCCTGTCAGTGTGTCATTTAAAGAAACTATTTTTCATTACACAATTTGATCACAAACCAATTTTGTGATCAAACTTTACCTTTGATGTATCAATTAAACATTTATTCCTCCCCTCTCTTCTTTTTTTCTCTCTCTCTCTCTCTCTCTCTCTCTCTCTCTCTCTCTCTCCCTCCCTCTCTCTCTCTCTCCCCCCCCCCCTCTCTCTCTCTCCCCTCTCCCCTCTCTCACTCTCTCTTCCCTTCTCCTTCCAGACGATCATGTTCGTCGGGACCCTGGAAGACCCTGGGCAGCTGGTACTGGTAGAGCGCCCCCAACAGGCCATCTTCGAGCAGTTACCACCCACCCTCCAACAGAAAAAGTTTGGAACCTAGATAAAGACTTGTCAACGACCCATGCTGGCATCGGTGACTCTGTTCATTGCGGTGTCGATGCATAAAGGATGTTCAAAAGGAAATGAGAAAAACAGTGTGCTTGGTCGATATAATGGATTGACTCTAGACGTCTTTGGGTACTTTGAAGAAAGGGTCGCTGGGGCTTCTTTTAAAAAAGTTGCAATGTGACTAACATGCAACCAATCTATTTTAGGAGTTACAAGATGTGTTTTTTTTTAATGCCAAGGTCCCCTTATATTTATGCTTGAAAGGAGTGCCATCATTACATAACTGGTCGCCTGCCCCTCCCCCCCCCCCCCCACTCCCTAAAACTAGCCTTGATTTATACATCACTATGACATTCCTTCTTAGAAAGAAAAATGAAATGTGACCTCTGTGCGAATTCAATCTCATAGCCTCAAACAGCATGTCTGAATCATACCAAACTGTCTTAGAAAGATGCTTTTAATCTTATGCTGTCCAAACGACTGTTGACTCACTCTCCGAGTCTCTGCTTTCATTCAACCTGCCCTACATTCGTTTTTTGTCGTCGTTGGATTTTATTTGTCGGATTCTAAATATTATGAAATGCTGGTGAGTTATCAAACCTTTTGTTCCCAAGGTACCAAAGTCCATGGAACCAATCAGACGTAATTTGTAATTCAAATCATCAGTAATGAGAACTAGAGAGAGAGAGAGAGAGATTTTATTTTTGGTGGCGCAGATTTTCAAGGCTGTGAAAATCATTAAGGGGGGTCTTTTAGAATATCCAGCCATGGTTAATGTTCCAGCGATAATCAACAATTTTGTTGTTGAGTGTTTCCCTCCACAAAACTTGCTGGGAGCCGAGATGATTATTAATTCATAACAATTAACCCAATATTTCTGTCTGTCTGTCTGGCTCAAAAATCCCATACTTGATCAACTATTGTTAATGCTTTTTTTAATCTCCCAAAAGATTCATATATTTTAATGCGGAGTTACTGCTTCTTTAGCTCCAAAGTACTTTTTGTTTATGCGCAGTTTATGCTCTTGTGATTCCAAAAGTACTTGTATTATGTCACACAGACATAATGCCCTTCTGGCACTAAGACAGTAATGTTTTGTTTTTTATAGAAAGAGTGTATCGAACTTGTGACACTCTTTTGTCGTACAAGAATGGTGTTTATTTTAATTTAAAATATCTAAGCTTCGATTTGATATACTTGTATATACCTCATGGGGATGTAAATAAAATAAATTTGGCATTATCGAATATTAGTAAAAAATCAGTCACATTTAACATGAAACTTAGCATTGTTGATTTGAAGCACAAAGCTCATGTCAATATGACATCCCTCGAATTAGACACAAATTCATCCACAGATCTTCTACGATCACCTTTGTGAAGTGCTTTTCAATTTCAAGGAAAAGGAACTACGTGCGTCTTAGATCAGATCAGATTAGAATCGATCTTCACAAGCATTACCTTTGCTTTCATAGCAGCCAAGTTCATTTCAATTCATCACAAAAATCCGCAATCTGTTGACTTCCATTCTCTTTAGTAGGACGTAAAGCGATATGTTTGCCGGAGTAAACACGATGCTTTGTACCCCTCAGCGTTAAATCATCTGACTGTCATATCGGGTTTCACACAGATCTAGTCTGACAAACGTGAAGTGTCTAGACTGAGTAATGCCATAATCAATTCTCATAGATTCAAGTGTTTGGAAGCCAACGATGTTTAGCGTGGCACCCCTTTTATCTGCAAGTCATTGGGATTTAAAACCATGGTACAAGGTATCTAGACGTATGCCATATTTTGCTGTTTAAAAAAATATAGAGTATGGAATAGTAAGTTACCATGGAAACAAGTAGATATTCTCACCTGGATATGTGATGTCATTTTCTTTTTAATGCAGGTTCTGGCACAGAATGTACGGTATATCTGGTTTATGCTATGAATGAAAAGAATATGAAATAGTCAAATACCATGGATGTACTGATTCATGTGATACTATCACTTGTGTTAAAATGCAAGACCTGGAAAACACATCTAGACTGATACATTACTTTGCTCGGTTAAGGTTCATTTTTAGACTAGAGTATCACATATTAAAGGGATCGTTTAACAATGTTAAATCTGAGATGCACAGCCCTACGTGTTATCAGTGTCTGTGACATGGTGTAATATTGAAGCCCTAAAAAATCGTGCTTCAAAATCATCAAGAAGTGCCTCAAAAAAGTAAAAACCTTTGAGTGAACGGTTTTACCATACCGGTACTCGTTTTCCCCAATAGACTGTAGTGTTATGAAAACCGTTTGGCAAACGCAAAATTTGATTTCGATTTTCAATCACAAATATCTTGATAATCAGACAGGCAATCGACTTGTAAAAGTCATGGGTTTCCTGACTGACCTAAAGGTTTATAATCATCATTGCAGCATAAGCTAAATCAAGGATTTTTTTAAAGGATCTAAGACAAAGTTACCGGATCCCTTTCAAACATTATAGAATTGACAAGAAATGTTTCCCTTCTGAATATGTGTGTTAACGGTCATTAATGTACAAAGACCACCACGCCATTATGTTCTGTTTTTAAATAATGCAAGCCCTGGGACAAACACCTGTAGTAATGCAGTATTTTGCTCCAAAAAAACAAAAAACAAAATTCCGTAGATCATGAGACCAGAATATGCCTTCATAAAATACGATGGAAATTTTTTTAAATCTTAACTTCCGAGTATATTATATATTGTTTGTTGATTCACTTGTTATACTTTTATGATGAAATGCAAGCTCTTTTTTATGTTCTAATTTACTCCTTTTTATGTTATGAGGTAAAAAGCCACCCTATCAACTGATCGAAGAACAAGCATGATCAACAATTAAATCATGGGTATAATGGAAATAAAACCTAATGGTAAAAAGCAATTATACAATTGTGTAAATGATATGGTATAGTCAGTAATATGAGTGTTCTCTTTTTTCCCCAATTCAAATCTGTAGAAGATGATATCTATTATTGCATTGTCAATAAAAGGGAAACCAGGACATATTTAATTTAGTCTAGTTTATATGTTTTCATGTTTGCATCATTCATCATCACTTGAGTGGGTAGACAAAGGATATAATGATAGTAATAATAATGCACACATTTATAATGCCAAACATATCCACCAGATGGTGAAAATCCAGCAGATATAAAAACACTTAGTTGGAACAGAACGAATCATGTCAAGTGTATGTTGTCTTCTTCTTTTTTCATGAAAAAGACATATATCAATAAATGCATGAATTTGCATTCGCAGTGAACAGATGTTGTGCCATGTTTTTTTGTATGTAATTGTTTTGGTGAATGTTGAAATTTTAAAGCTTTTGCGTGTTATGAATGTGCTTGTGGTGTAAAACCTTGCACTTGAATGAAATCCTGGTAAATTGCGGGTATATGCAGTAGAGCAGTTTATCCAGGTTAGTTCAAAGTGCTGAGTGATTTGTAAAAAAATCATGGTTTTTATTCTATAAATTAGAAATATATGATGTTCTTACTATCAATATGCCTTTTGAATTTTCCGAAAAATTCAATCGGGAAGTCTGTTAAATTAGAGTTTATAATTTGGTTTCTCACACTACCCAATTCGTTTTCCCAACCCCTTCGTTAAACGATCAAAGTGACCTCTATATGCAAATTTCGGCATACTACAATGTACGTCACAGACAGTACTCGACCTATACTAAGGCTGTTGCAATTTATCCGTACAATGTGTTCGCAATGTCATAGTACATGAAAACTTACAAAATCTGGACTGGTTTACAACATTAATTTGTATAAGATTCCTCCCAAACTTTAAAAAACAGAGATGCTAGCCTTGATGAGTTGAAGATGTATCGTGATGTTCGTAAGTGTAATTCGCGGGTAATTTTGACCTGTCAGATCAGCGCGCGGTCAACACTACTGCAAGTGACGTCACATCCCTGACCTGCATCACGTGACGTCACATCCCTGACCTGCATCACGTGACGTCACATCCCCGACCTGCATCACGTGACTGTTAGTAAGCTTTTCAGAATTGAACGCTTGTGTTGGCTGAAAAGTGCCAATTTCAACACTTAATAACAAAAAAACGGTAAATCAAAGAATAAAATAACATTGATTTATTTGTTCATTATATATCAAATAATGTATACCCAACATTTTTCGATTTTTGAACACATCAAAATACGAGTAACCCGGCACTTTAAGCAGAAGAGAACCCCTACCACTCTGTCTCTGCTTATTATGAATACTTGTTTGAAACAAAATTATCTGAGAGGAGGATTCCGTTTTGATTCTGTTTTGTTTTATTTGAAGATGGATAGAGGGGGACATCGGAGAGGACAATTGCAAAGGTGCCAGAGTTGTCTATGATGATAACGATGGTGATGGTGGTAATGGTGGTGTTGGTAATGATGATGGTGATAATGATGACTATGGTGATGAGGGTAAGGAGGGATAATTAAGATGATGATGATGATGATGGTGGTGGTAATGATGATGATGATAATTATAATGATGACGATGGTGGTGGTGGTAATGGTGATGATGGTGGTGGTGGTGGTGGTGGCGGCGGTGGTGGTGGTGGTGGGGGTAGTGGGGATGTACATGTAATGATGATGAAGAAAGCTAGACAATGCCAACAAATGAGAGAATTATGATCAAAGATTTTTGCTCTCTCCCTGTCGTTCTATCTTCTCTCTTCTGCCCCCCCCCCCCCCCTCTATCTTTCTCTCTCTCTCTCTCACACACACATTCATGACAAATATTCAGTTACTCAAATGTTTTAAAGACACGACATTACATAATGAATGTTCTCTCAAGCTACTTCAGCCCCCTATGGTATCCTGCAAAACCATGGGATTACAATCACTAAATATTATACAACACCTTAAATTGTAAAATTCAGAGGAAATAAAAATTACTTGTGTCCTTTCTTTCTTCCAATTGTCTATCTCTGTCTTCCTTCTTCATCATTGTGCCCCC